AAGTCTTATAGTTTCTTTAACTGCTTAACCACTTAAACAAGCATAAATTAGTTAAGAACAAGATTAATTACTTACTCGGACAAAGCAGTCGTGAAAATGCATGCGAAGCAAAGCAGCTGTTATTGAACGATCAGTGCTGAATTTCTTTTGTACAACTTGTTGAACAATTGATTCAGCTTGTGGACATGAATTGCTGTAAAACCCATTCCGAAGTTGAGCTGCGGCAAGGTGGAGGATGCAACATAGGAAAATGACTTTTAGCTTCATTTCCATTTTGCTTAAGCTTTTCTAGGCTTTCGGGTAATTAATCGAGGTTAAGTATGTGAATAGTTGAGCTGCTTATGTTATGAAGAATCACAATCCAATTGTGGGTATATATAGGTGAAAAAAGTCGTGCAGGAAAGGATGGAAATTTGCATGGTCAAAATTTGTTGACCAAAACGTGTTTATTGACAAATCTTTTGGCTGCTTTCCCTTATAATAGTATGACAAAAACGTGGACGCGTTAGGGCACTCTGGACGTGAATACAAATCTTTTCAGACCGAATTCTTTAAGCAATGAAATCAATTTTAATCATTTTGAAGCTGTGGCATAGGAATTTTTGGGAACTAGTCATAGGAATTTTAATTAATGAACCGTCCAAACCAAAGAACCATCCACTTTTCCTTCCTGGGCGCGGTTAATGAATCATGTGAAGTATGCTAGCATTTTTAATTGTGTGTTTTTGCTTAGAGAGCAATTTGTGTTTTCAAATTACGGGAAAAAATGAAAAGTCAAAAATTATATACTCTCTCCGTCCTATTTATTTAATTATATTTGGGGAATTTGACTTTTTAAGAATAGTGGCTTGATTGCGATATTTTTGCATCTCTTTCCAATTTTACCCCCACAAATTCAAATTTTAAAATTAAATGGTAATATGAGTATGATTAGAAAAAACGGTTATATTGAAAAGAGAGACTAAAATGTGTTTTGACTTTTCTAACATGACAATTATTTTGGAATATCCCAAAATGAAAAGTATGACATTTTTAATGGGACGGAAAGAGTATATAGTTACTTAGTTGTAGTTATATACAAAGTACTATGCACCATTGGAATTGGCTCAGTAGTCAGGAAAGGCTCTTAGAGTTTTTTTTCCTATTAGGTCTATGACTCGAATTCTGTGCATAAAAATTGAGGTTGGGAAGAGCGAGGGAAGGGGTGGAAGGATTAAAAAAAATGTGGTTTATCTCCAAGAAAGAGAGAGAAAGAAAATCAATTTGAAATTGAGAATAAGTGCTAGTGAATTTTTTACACAATACACAGACACATATATATATATATATATGTGTGTGTGTGTGTGTGTGTCAAAGTTGATCAAAATCTCTTAGAATTTTTCCTTAAGGATTTATAGATGAAAAGTAGAACTCTAAGTATTCAAACTTTCAAATGTTTTTCTTTTTTTTTTTCTTTTTCTTTTTCAGTGTTCAATACTATGCTCAAAAAGAAGAGGCAAGATTATTAGGGTGCCATTCCATTTTATTTTGTATAATTCTTTGCATCTTTTAGCCCAAAGTGGTATCTTGACTTTAATAGTTCTTCATTTCGTACTAAGTTTCGCAAACAAGTACCGCAGGTACTTGTTAAGACATTTAAATTACACATAATCTATTATATAAATACACATTCTTACACTTATTATTTCCTCCATATTTAGATGTTTTTTCCAAATTAATTTCGTTCTTACAAAAAAATTAATACCTAGAGCCCATCTTAAAGAGTGCTTCGGGTCACTCGTTAGCCAAACTCTGAAAGGGATAATTGAAAAATAAGTATCGTTCGTCCAACTGGTTTGTGACTAAAAAAAACAAATCCTTAAGCAATGATATCAAATTCAATCATTTTGAAGTCATGGCATATAGGACAATGATTATTAATTGTTTCCGAAAGTAGTATTATTTAAATGGTCATAAGCCATATGAGTTTTAATCAATAAACTATCAATTGCAAAGAACCAACTTCTATTAGTTGGTCTTTTCGCCTAAAGACCAACGTGTGTTTCAAACCAAGAAAAAACAATAAAAAGACCAGATAATTGTATTCTAGAAAAGGCCCTGAGCATGAACAAAGAAATTACATGGAAATGAACTATAAATCAAGAAAAAATAATAACAGAATAAATCTTGAGTTCCAGTATACTGGAGATGTGCTAATCTTTCCAACCACTATGGTTCTACAATTTGTTTATACTACAAATAATCATTAAAAACAGAACTATCATCGTCCAATATTAGCAGAAAATTGCGCAAAAGCCAATCACACAATTTTATATGGCACACTTATCCTAATTCCTAAATGAAACTCCTAAGTCGAGAAGGGATGATTTCTGCAAAGGTGAATAAACAAATAAGTACAACTTTAATTTCTGGCCCCACAGGAACAAGAATATCTAGACTTATTGGGCTAGTTTTAGTTATTCACAACAAACCCTGCCATGTTTCCTTTTTTGACCGAAACACTTAGCATCAAACATGCAAGACTCAAGACTGGGAAACTATTTCGCGTTTTGTTGAAGGCAAAGATTTGACTTCAGGGTAAGGAAACCTGTTTCCAGCTGTTCCCAGCTGAGCAAAATAGTCTTTCGAAGAATAACAAATGTTAATCCACTTGCGGGTTGACTCATATTGCCCACACACGGGTCATTACCTACTTTCCAAATACTTATAGATTACATATAAACACAATTCTCATGTGAATAGCAAAATTTGAATACAATAACCGCCAATTGTATGCTCTTATAAGTAAGTGTATGCTCTTATCAATTAAATCAACATCTTACTATATATAAAGAGAGAGAAGCATGGGCTAAACTTTTTTTTAATCACTTTTTGTTTTTCTTTATTTATCCTCCCACTAAAGTGCTAAATGGTAGAAATCTCCAATAACCGCCAATAACTTCTTTTTCTTTATTTTTAACAACATAAAAAAAATCACATTACATAATCTAATAAAACTCTTTAATACTTGCATATTACTTTTTAGGGTTAATCGCACTTTATCCCATTTAAGTATAGGCCGTTTCTCACTTTACCCCCCAACGTTTGTTTTTCCTCAGTTTACCCCTTCCGTCAGCAATTGCACCGTTAAAAACTTTAAGATTTCTAATTTACCGTACGAAAAGGGCCGTTGGTTTTAGCAGACAACAATGCCCCTCAATGGTGTCTGATGCTTTTAGCCTACCTTTTCCCTCAAAGAGCCGTTGGTTGGTTGGTTTTAGCCGTTGGTTGGGTTTTATAATAGGAGGTATTTTGCACCCAATTTTTCTCATACATTCTCAAAGGTTCCAAAGTTTCTAAAATTTCTCTCCAAAGTTCCTAAAATTTCTCTTTGTCAACCAAAAGCATCATAAAATGTCACAAAGTGCTTCAAATGATGTTGGAAGATCACCCCAAAAAATGTGTAGATGTGGTAAAGAGGCACCATTGTGCACGTCTTGGACACTTGAAAATCCGGGAAGAAGATTTTACGGCTGCTCAAATTACAATGTAAGAATTTTTCATTAATAATTTGTTAATATTGTCTTTAATTTTGCTCTATACCTGAATTAGTTAGAAAGAGTTTAAACAACTAATTATTTTTTTAATTTAGAACCGACACGCATGTGGGCACTTTGAATGGGTAGATCCTGAAGTATGTAGCCAAACAAAAGAAGTAAGTGCAGTGCTGCAATCTAGATTGCTGGAGCAAAAGGAGAAACTAATGTACTTGCAAAGGAAGCATGAAAAATTGGCAAATGAGCATGAGAAATTGAAAAGCAGATATGAAGCCTTAAAAACAGAAGTCTGCGTCTTACAAGTTGAAAACCAACAGCTACAGCAACAATACATGATGGTCAAAGCTGCTCGATTTTCATCATGGAGAAAAACACTAGCCATTACATTTCTGATTGCTAGCATTTTGTATATGTACTCTATTTCAGAACCAAAAAGTAACAAAAATCTGCTTTATCTACCATAGTTGTAAGCAAATATGTATGAAAGAAAATTATATTAAGTTAAAAGTATTTTACACATCAGATTACATCTTAGCATGTGTCTGCATGGCCACCCAAACAAAGGCCATTTTAGTAGAACCCAGCCAAAACATGATTCTAGAACATGTCCAAATAATGGGAAAAGAAAAACAACATCAGCATTTCTAACATTGCTGCAAAGGTAACTTCAAATACTAGTAATGACAAAAATAGCAACAGCAACACCATTTCACATCAAAACACATTCAGGTGTGCGCATAACTGTTGAACGTCCAGTTGCAGCAGTTGAAGATCCTTGGGTAGAAAACACAGCATCTCCAAATCTAATACTCTTGGTTTGAACCTACATGGATGAGGGGCATCTTAGTGCATCAAACTACTACTAGGGGTGGTAGCATGTAAACATAGCCAAAAGACTTGAACTCACCATTCCAGTTTTAGTAGCACCTGAATTGGTTTTAGAACTTCCAGTTTTAGCATCACCCAACTTGGTTCTTGGTCTTTTAGTTGTTACTGAAGTGGTTGCTTTTGAACTTGTACATGGTACGCTGGTGGGAGCAACAACAGTAGTTGAACTCAAATTGGCACCAGATGTAGGTGTTCTTGTCCACTGTATCATCAATAGGAAACAATAAGTGAGCACGTATAAAATGGCCATGCATGCAGAGTTTTAAAATGTAGGCTTACCAGTTGGGTTGGAGGGGGCTGGCCAGTCTTTGAAGTACTTGGAATCTGCATAATAAAGGTAGTTTTTAATCATTGCAAGTGTCTAAAATTAAATTAGTTACATACAAATACAAAAGGAACTCACCATGCTAGACTCAAATGGGATATATGTTTTACTTGTTGATATCCCTTGACCATTCCAAAGTCCAATGCCACATAGTGGCCCATTGTTATGGTCTGAACCCCTACCCTTACCCCTGCCCCTACCTCTACCTCTCATTTTAGCTCTAGTTGGGCCTCTTGCAGTTGTAGATTTAGTCACATCAGCATTTTGCACAACATCAGCATCAGTATTTCTCTCAACATCAGCATCAGCATTTGTAGAGTGGCCTCTACCAGCTCCTCTCCCTCGTTTAGTAGGCCCTTGCATCTTGCAATACATCAAAAAATGACAGTCAGATGTAGATAGAAAAAAGCCAAGCAACATATATTGATTGAAGTTACCTGTGCAGTCACTGATTTTCTTTGCCTCACAAATGAACAACCAGTGACCTTGCAACTTCTGGCATTGTGGTCAGTATGACCACAATGACTGCAGTGAATTGGCAGCCCTACTTTAGATAGTTTTCCAACATGTAAGTCCTCCAATGGAGCCTTTTTTCTAACTTTCTTAGGCCTGCCTGGAGCTATCTTCCTACGAGGTGGGAGTAATGTATCACTGCTAGCATTCACCCAATTTGTTTGGTCTGGCATAGGCATAACAACACCAGCATATGCCTTTACATATGTTTCTACTGAGTAGCAATTATCAACATATGCATATGGATCTTTGTTGTCTTGCACAAGTCCAGCACATGCATGGACACATGGAATTCCTGTCATATCCCACTCATTACATGTGCAAGACCTTTGAACTGCATTAACAGCAAAAGTTCCTACTATACCAGTCACCTCATACACCTCTCTTGTAGACACAAGTGCATCAAACTGAGCTACCTGTTTTTTCCTCTCTTCAATTTTCTGACAGATCCTCGGACAAATATGAGACTTCACCTTCTGAATCCAGTCTCTTTTTTCTTGAAATCTGCACATAATCTGTCTTCGAATGGCCTCAAACATAGTCAAAATAGGCTCTTCCCTAGCATCCTTAATGTATTGATTGAAGCTCTCACATATATTATTACTTAAAAGGTCACATTTTGTCCTTGGAGAAAAGGTGTGTCTGGCCCATAGGTTAGCTGGTATGGAACTAAGCCATGCATGTGCTTCTGGGGCTACTAAATGTAACTCTCTCATTTTGCTTTCATAATGACAGGGTAAATAAGCCCTGGCTGCCCCCCACATTAAATCTCTTAGGTGCTTATCCTTGAATTTCAGTTTGAAATTAGCATACATGTGTCTAACACAGAATCGATGCTCCACTCCAGGATACTTATTCTCAATGCAATCAATTAATCCCTGACATAAAAACATAAATAACAGAATTAGTGAAAGGAGTGAGTGAGGAATAAAGGAAAGTAAATCAGATTGTAGTGGTGCTGACCTTTTGTCTATCTGATAGAAACACCCAACCCCTTTCAATTGGAGTGCCAATGGCATCAGTAAGGATGTCCAAAAACCACCCCCAACTATCTTTGCATTCAGATTCAACAAGTGCCATAGCAATTGGGAACATCTGGTTATTAGCATCCCTACCAATTGCAGACATAAGCTGTCCTCCCATGATCCCCTTAAGGTGACATGCATCCAGTCCTATTACAGGCCTACATGCATTTACAAAACCTTCTTTTTGTGCAGTAAACATCACAAACACTCTTGAAGATTGGACTTTTACAAATATTGGACTTTTCAGTTACAATAAATGCCACTGAACCTGGATTTCTTTGTAAAAGTGTAGCATAATAGTCTCTTAATCTTGCATACTGCTTTGCACATGACCCTTTCACTGCTTCCTCTGCTTTCTCTCTTGCTCTATACATTTGAGAGTTTGTACAGTTCAGGTTATACTTCCTTTTTATGCTCTTCTTGAACCCTTTTACTTTCATATCCGGATGGTCAGCAATCTCCTCCATAAACATCCTAGACAGCCACCTAGAATTTGCACTCTTGTTCTTGAAAGACCATGGACATCTATGAGGTACGCCTTTAATGGACTTCACTTGAAGTGTAACTTTGCTTCCATTATAGCCACTAGCATATATTCTCCATCCACATTTATTTGAACATATAACCACAGCTTTATCTTTGTCATTCTTAGTGAACGTAACTTCAAACCCATTCAAAATTGAATACATTCTAACTGCAGCTCTAAAATCATAAATATTGCTAAAAATTCTGCCTACAGTCAATTCAGGATTTTTTAGATCCCTTTCCATGTTAAACTCAGGAAATTCATGCTCCATGCCTTCATCATTTGAATCATAAACTGGTTTAAGTATTTCATCATCACTAACATCTTCATCATCGACCAGTTTTCCATGACCTTTGGAGTTAAGGTATGCATTATATTCTTCACTAATCAGTGCCACATACTTAGCATAATCAGTCTGTTTTAGGTGACAATCTACTTCACCACCATCCCTCTCTACATCATCTATAGGGTCACATGCATCATTTAAATCATCCCCATCTAGGAAAAAATCAAAGTCAGAGTCATATTCAACTTCCCTACAACCATCCCGATCACCTTCCTGTGAAGCATCTGAAGCATCACTTTCGGCCTCATCATTTTGGGGTTGATCAGCATTAGGATTTAGATTTTGTTTACCATTAACCTCAATATTATCCTCTGCAACAGTTCTATCAGCATGCAAATCTTCTTCAGGGATCTCACCAACATAAAGTTGTATGATGTTTTGAGTTCTATTTGCCTCAAACATTTCTATAACAATCTGGTCACTGTTTAACAGTTTAAGACCAACCTTAAAGTCAAGATTCCTAACCCTATAGTACACCTCTGTTTCATGTGATATTCCAGCATCTTTAAAAGCATCTCTTAATTCAAAAATTGACATCAAATCAGGGTCAACATCATCAAAATTAGCAACTTCTCCCCCCACATACTGTAAATTTGGGACATAGGCAAAATGGCCTCCGTAGTGAACCTCTAAAACATAGGTTTTGAAGTCCATTCTTTTGTAATCACACAAAGGTAATTGTTTTTAGTGCATGCACAGGTAATATAGAGCAAGTATCTTTTATTGTCCCACAAAAATAAAAAATCCTAGTTTGTCTATCTAACAGCCAACATATAACCATCCAAATAAACAAAAAATCCAGCAAATTAATAATTAAAAAAGACAAACCCATCGTTTCCCATCCTAACCCGACAATGACTTGTTATGAACTTTAAGGGACCACACTAACAGATTTCAAACAAATAATTGTCTACATATTAAAGCCCATGCAGTCATTAAAAAAACCCATACCATTGTTTCTGTGCAATAAAATTGATTAACAATTAGAAATTTCTAAAATCGAGAAAAAATTGCAAAATCGAACCTCATAGATCTGCCCAAGCTCTCATAATCTCCTTTCACAATCTTCAAATTCAATTCTGCCGTCTGTTAACAACCACATCGATTACCCATTTTTTCATTCAAGATTGCACCAGAATTTTCAATTTTGTTAGTGGACGTTTTGCTAAGGCTTCGGGCACCAGTGAAGAGAAAGTAACCCGACAAAGAAAAAAAGGAAGAGAAAGTGACCCGACATAGTCAAAAGGGGACCTTTTTCTGTTCTGTTCCCTAATTTCTTTTTCTTTTTCTGTTCCATGCCAGATGGAGGGAAATTTCCCTCCATTATTTCAGGGTAATTTTGGAAACTTGCATTTCATAAACCAGCATATATGGGTATTTTGGGTTGTTCAATGTTTTCATAAGGATATTATTGTCTTTTCAATATTTCGTTTATGTCCATTAGAGTTGACTGTTAGTTTTTGGGGTAGACTGAGGAAAAACAAACGTTGGGGGGTAAAGTGAGAAACGGCCTATACTTAAAGGGGATAAAGTGCGATTAACCCTACTTTTTATAATTTTTTCTTTTAATTTACACACACATAAGGTGTACATTTTCCGCTAGTGTGTTGTAACTTGTAATGCCTCATATGTACTCAGATAAAATAAATAAATCTCCGGATACTGAGTGGCTCGCTAGTGGACGGTGGACCTCGCTTGTAAAGCTGAATCCACAGTTTCTGGTGCAAGTACGCGGTTTATGTTGTATTCCCTGCTTACTTACATCGCGTGGGTGTCCGAAACAAACACGCATAACCATTGGGCCAATGACTCAGTGGCCACCAAGGAAGGGACTTAAGTCCCTTCTTGAACTGTAGGTGAGGGTATAGTTATTAAACCCGGTCTGAAGAGGAACTCGATGAAAAAGGTGGGTCAACGGGTTACTGATTCAACCAGTGGGTGAGTGGTCCAACCGGTGGGTTACTACATATATTTAAATATTATATTTTATAGTTTTTTATATGGTTGAAACTATAATAAACTATGTTATAGTAAATACTCAGTTAGTCCAATTTATTATAGAATCATTAATTCTTATAAGAATTAATAAAACCTAAATTTAATTAGTAATCCACCAAACTTCAAGTATAAAATTTTATCAAAGTGTAATTATCTAGTTTATTTATGGATTTTAAGTGCAAGGTTATTAAGAATAATATTTGTCTTTAAAATGAATTGTGTAATATGTTATTTTTTAAATCCATTTCATAATTTATAGAATTTAGAGAATAATAAACTCTAATATATAATATAGAAGGGGCAAACCAACACCAAACGAGCAGCTGGGCTAGTGGTGAGTACACTTAGTCCTTATATTCAAGGTCCGAGGTTTCAATCAGCACCGCAACACTTTCTAAACATTTTTTCCCCAAAACCGGGTACCTTAGAAAACCGTCCGGTTCAACCGAGTTGACCGGTTGAATCGCCGGTTCGTGAAAAATTCAACGGTTCTCTTGCACAAACGATCCAAATACAAAACCAGCCCGATTTCATGGGCGGTTCACCGGGTTGACCGATTGAACCGTCGGGCCGGGTCGGGTCTAATAACTATGGGTGAGAGTTTAAATCTTACCTGCAGCGAAAAAAATTTAAGAATTATGCTAGAACACTTCCTTGATTTAGTTGGATCTGTATAGCCACTAGCCCCCTATCACAGCCTTTTTAGGCTCCCCCTCCCCCCTAAATTAGGAAAGAGTAGATTATACAAATGTATCGTTGCTGACAAAAAAAAAAAAAAGAAGCAAACATACAGGTTTTTTTTCGATTTTTTTTTCGATGATAAACATGCAAGTTCAAGAAAACCTCAAGATATAGCATTAAGAGCCTCGTAACGTTTGAGGTGATTAACACTTTGCCACCCCTCATTCAGTCCAAACCATTTTCGACTATTATAAATTATGTCTGAGTTTCTAAAATTCTAGTTTTGTCAACCTTAAGAAAACGTTAATCTGCAATTTACTCTGATGAGCTATGATTTTAGTTGCACTTTGCCCAATGTATAATTTTAAAGGCAGTCCAACTGTTGCTGTTTTAAGTATTATTGCTTTTTCTTTTTCTTCCTCTATTCTTCTCTATTATTATTTTCTCTATTTATTTTTACTTTAATTTTTATTTTTCCCGTTGCCTCTTGTCACTTCGCAGCTACTACATCACTATTTAATCATTCATTAACCAAATTAAAAGCTCTAAATTTAATCTCTGTGTCTACATTTTTTTTTAATTTCTAAATTGCATATATGTTCTGAAATAGAAGTAATAAACTAACTACAACCAACAACAAAATTATGCTTGGAGTTTGCAACCAATTATCAATAAGGAAATATGAAACAACAACCTTCAACACAATAAAAGAATGAGGCGTCGAAAATTAAGACAACCAAACGTCATATAATAATAAAAAAATATATGTTCCTAGTGTTAGAAATCATATTTAAATTATTTGGACAAAATATATATAAACTAAAATTAGTGATTAATCAACTATTCATGGCAATATATTGCTCAGCCGCAAGAGGCAGTGGAAGAAAATTAAGAGATATACTAAGAAAAGGAAAGAGAAATGAAATAAAAGGAAACAAATAAAAAATGAAAATTATTAAAATATCAAGGACAAAGTTATCCTTAAACATAGTTTAGAAGATAAATTGAGTGTAAAATTCTTTGGGAGACAATGTGCAACTAAAGTCATTGTTGATGAGGTATGCAATAACCTCTAACCTAGGAGAGGGAAGGGATGGGTTAGGTAGTTTGGCAGGAGAAAGTGTAAGTAAAATGTCTCAAGTCAAATCCTCCTACTTACATTAAAAAAAATTCTCTAACCTAAGGATATTAATGTTCTCTTACCAATTAGTTAACTTTGAGTATTAATTCAAGGGATAATATCAGAAACCTCCCCTTAGGTTTCTTTTAATATCACCTGATACCCATAAGGTTTCAAAAATATCACTTACCTCCCTTACTTTAGTTATTTGTGTAACAAAATTTTTAAAAACCCTAAACTATCCTTTCACTTACTAAATAAAAATATTCCTAAGTCACTTTGTTCATTTCAAGAAAACCATCACTTTAAAAGCAATCTCTTGTAGTACTACCACATCACAATGTTATACCCCATAAAAATATAAATTTGAAAAATAAAAATGATATTTGAAAAGAAATACATTTGTATCAATTTAATTCGATATGCTCAAAATTGATTTCTTATGAA